TTGAGAAAACTTCTCTAGAACAAGAGAGATGAAGATGTGAAGTGGAAAGCTCAAACCAAAGATGATCTCATCTTCTTGTGAAACAATCTTCACAAACTTGAAACTTTTAACTCACACTTAAAAAAAACTTAAACTCTTGTAAAAACTTATTTAAAACATCCCTTGGTAGTAAAAAATAGTTATGACAAAGGGGTATATATAGGAAAGAAGAAAACAACCCAAAAAACCCCAAAACCCCACTAAAAAACAAAAATCAGTAAGTTACCATTATTGTGCAACGGTAACATCGATGGTCGACCGTGGCGGTAGACTGTGAGAAGAAAAACTACAAAACTGATCTCTGGACTACTGACGGTTGACTGTGGCTATCGACCGCACTATAGCACGGTCGACCGTGGCGGTCGACCGTAGTTTTCCAGATTTTGACAGATGCTAGAATTTTACGTATCTGACTTTGTAAAATCAATTAAAAATAGTAAATAAATTCCAAAAATTATAAAATTTTGTGAGAATGTTCTAGACATGTATAAAAATATGTTAGAGAAAGAATTTATGAAATATCATTTCCCAGTTGAGAGAAATAACTGTTTGAACATAGATATATAATTTCTAAAAAAACTGTTGAAAACTTGGTTTTGTAAATTCAATTGAAAATAACAAAACAACTCCAAAATTAGTAAAACTTGGGGAAATATTTGTATATATGAAGATAAACATGTAAATGAAGAAATTTTTCAAATCGCATTTCCCAATTGTGAAAATGTATCTGTTTTGCAAAAAACATGCATGAACATGTGCACGAACATGAGCTTATTAAAAACTTGATTTTGTAAATTCAAATAATCATAACAAATTAATTCCAAAATTGATAAAACTTTGGAAAACATTTATAAACATGAAATTGAACATGTTAGAAAAAGAATTTCTCAAATTGAATTTCCCATTTATGAAAACTCATGTATTTTACAAGTGTGTCCAAAACATGAAAATGTGATATACATGAAATTTGATGTTTGCACATAAACAATGCTTTGAAACCCTATGAAATAATTTTATGGACTTAATGAAATATGTATACAATGATTGTTAAGTCCATAAACCAAAACTTGTGTATATATATAACTATATATATAACAACTAAATGTGTGTGTGTATATATGATTGAGCTTAAAGTACTAACACACATAATATAAAACCTAAACTAAATATACCCAAGCTTGATAGATCTTTGATGTAGCTCAACTTGATACACTTGCGGATGAAGCTAGAACTTGGATCTTCAATTTGAATTGCATAGACTTCACTCCACAATTCCGCCAACCTCCATTTGATATGATCGTGAATGCTCGATTCCATCCATCCTCCAATATGTTGTTTGTCTATAATAAATAGAATTATACAAATACTAGACAAACAATATTAAAAGTAAATTGTTTGTTAAACTTTATCGAAACAAGAAGGCCAATAATCTCCCACTTTTTGATGATGACAAACAATTTACAAAAAGGATATATGCATGAAAGGAAATGAATATACAATATTGTAATTATCATACATATAAACAAAAAGAATATATTCACAATATTTCTCTCCCTTTGACAACATCAAAAAGGGGAAAACAAAATAAGGAAGAGAGCGATAGCTCCCCCTATCAATATGCATGAGTGAGTATAAAAATATAGGGATTGCTCCCCCTATCAAAATGTCATATAGAATATATGTAATAAAAGATCATGTCAAATATGTGAGCAATCAAAAAAAAATATGCTAAATATCACTCACATACAAGAGGATAATGAGAACACATATAAATATATCAATATAAAAAAGTGGTGTCTCATATCAAAGAACATAAAAATCATGTATAAAAGTAGATTTATGAACACAAAAGAAAAAGAACATGGGAATCATGCAAAATATTTTCAAATGAAAACTATTGGCCTTCTTGTTTTGATGATGTTTAACAAACAATTTACCACTAATGTTGTTTGTCTAGTATTTGTGTTTTCTTATTTATTATAGACAAACAACGTAGTTGGAGGATGGATGGAATAGAGCTTCAACGATCATATCCAACAGAGGTGGAATGCTCGACAACTTTCGAAGCCGTGAGTACAATTCAACGTTTAGAAGAATAACAAGTCCCAAGCTGCCAATCCGCATGGCTACAAAGTGCAGCTACCCAATAAGGCCATCAAGATCCCAAGCCTTGCGCTAACATTTCTTTAGTTTATTATAGGTGTGTTAGTACCTTCAAAGCTCATATCATATTACCACCATCATTACACGCCCTTTTGGTTTCGCTTTGTATATATACAGTATACTATCTAACCATATATGTTTTGCTTAATCCAGGTTTCGAGTTATATATCAAACAAATAAATAAAATGCGAACACATCACCCCTATTTTGTTCCACGTTACTGTGCACAACCATATAATATCCGATTTTCATCTCCATTTAACCAATCAAAAAAAATATTTAAAAGACAATCAAAATAAAAATTTATAAAGAAATGTAAATCTTGAAATCTATATATTGCATAAGAATAATGCAATTTTTGAATGAAAATCACTCGGTCATTTTCTCACCTTTTCATAACATAACATCCTTATATCTTTATCAAAATCTATCACAATCCATATCATAAGGTTCTTAAATGTTGTTAATCAAAATATCAAAATAATCAATTTCCAGTTTTCATAGTTTTGAAACATAACTTATATCATTTACTTGCCCAAAATGATCATATTTTACCATTGCGAAATCCTCCCTATTCTGTATAACCCCCACCACTGTAGCATGTTTATTAATTCAATGGCTACAACTTATTCCCCAAAGTTTTACCATATTTTTGCCGCCCAATCTTATTTGAGATATTCTTTAAACAACATGTATAAAAAACAGCCCAAAAACCACGTTTTCAGCCAAACCTATCATATCAGTTTCCTCCGGCCGACGCCACGCGCCCTCGACCCCGCTCATTTATTCTCTATCCGACGCTTAGGACATCCAGATCCCAGTTCGTCCCACTCGGCTCCCGCACCGCCCGCGTCGCCACCGCAGACCCTTCCTCACCTCGGCGCACGACCCCGCACCGCCGCTCGCACCAGCATTCCAATCAGCCTTTTCCCACTTGCTTCTTCCTCGCTCTCTTGGACCTGCCGATACGCACCACTCGACCGACCTTTTCCGACCTCGGCTCAGACCCCGAACTTCCCCACTCGGACAT